CTCGCCCCCTGGTGCAGGTTAAATTCTGGGCCAGTCATTACAATTGCTCTGGTGTGTGCCCTCTCTCTATCACTCACCATTAGCAAAATAACAATCCTGGTGGAATCCAGTTCTCTGCCTACCTGTCCCTAAATACAGATAAACATAGGAGACTGAAAAACACAAACAATCAAATGAGCTAGCAGTCAAGACAGTCTAATCTTCTCAACTAGATTTCTTCCTAACCACTCATTTCTTAGAGCACTTAGGTATTTTTTTTTCCTTTTTAATTCAATTATAAATTCTTAACCTGCCTCTTTGAAAGGTGATCTTCCAGCTATTTTCACAGAATGTCTTGCAAGGACCTGAGAGCTGGCCCTCGTAGGAGCTGGCATCCTTTTCTCCCTGTCTCTGTGGGAGGATAAAGATCTAAGTTCCTGAAGGAACAATTAGCAGACCCCTGGGCCTAATGGCATGGAACAACCTCCCCCACACTGGAGTTCTCCAGTATTCTTCCACTAGCTCACCTCAGTGCTCAAAAACCCTCCCATCTTTTGGTTTTAGAATTGACTTCAACCTTGTTTCTCTATTGCAATGGTCTTGAATATTTTTTTTTTTTCTGTTTAAGTTAGATTTGGAATGACTATGTCATTCCTAGTGCATTTCTCTAAATCATTTGCTCTTCTGTTTATCTCACATCTTCAAATTATTCATACCTCTACCCCATCCTCATTTTCATCTGATGAGACTTCCAAAGGAGAAGAAAATTCACATCTTTCTTTAAATTATTCATACCTCTACCCCATCCTCATTCTCATCTGATGAGACTTCCAAAGGAGAAGAAAAATTCCTTAGGCCCTACACTCGAGACGTTGTATGAACACACCTCCCTATCTCCTGCCTCAACAGTATTTCCTGTGTCTGCTCAACTCCACTATACCCCTCTCATTGACCCCATTTCTGCTCTTGTCTTTTCAACAGAAATCAAACTCAAGTTTTTGCTAAATCTTACTTGAACTACTTTTTTCTCCTGGATTTTAAGGCACAAAATGTTCTTTTTCCTTCTGCCCCACCTGCGTTTACAGGCTTTCACTGTTTTTTGTTTTGTTTTGTTTTGTTTTGTTTTGAGAGGTTTTTGCTATAGGATACATGAGCTCACCAGAAGACAGAGAGAGACAGAAAGCAAGAAATCACTCCCTAAGGAATGGCTATGCTGTAATCCCTTCTTCTCCATTCTCCTCTCCAGATCTTGGGCACACGCGCACACATGCCCTGCATGAGTTTAAGCCACCAGGTCTGGGACTTGAACCGCGATCGGCTACATGGGAGTCCAGTGACATAGCCATTATGCCAACTGCTGGTCCCAGTTATGTCTTTTAACATGGATATGTTAAGGATCCATCAGGACTTCATTGGGCCAGCCTCATTGCTTAGTCCTTAAGGAAGCCAGATCCCACATTGCTGACCATGGTTTGAATCCCAGCTCTGGCAATTTGAAAAACACTCCAAGCTTGTGTGCAGGCTTGCCCCAAATCCCAACAGGATGGGGAAACTGGAGAAAATGAGATTGCAGTATGACTGCACCCCATGGGAGGGGTACTTTCCCCCCCCCCTTTGTCACTTGCCCTCTGGCATTAAAAAAAAAAGACTATGTTTTCCCCTTCATTCACTAATTCATTCCTTTTTACCCCATAGTTCTCCCTTCTGCTACAGGCAACTATTCACATGTATCCAATTTGCATATTGTTCGTAATAACCCTTAAAAATGTATTTTGTATTCATGTATTTTAATATATATAAATAATATTTCAGTAACTATCTTTTTGGCTGTTGTTTTGTTTTTAAGTTTTTCTCTCATTACTGTTTTTAAGATCCATTCATGTTATGATAATTGTTGGCTGCTACCTGCTTCACAGTTCTGCCTCTAGTATTCCTCTATATTTGGTCTTCTAGAATGACACCCAGAGACCAATAGCTGCCTTCTAGACAAATGACACTGCAACAAACCATCTGCCTGCAAAAAACAAACAAAAGCCCTCTACACTTCTGATTTTTCCACACCACATCCCTCTGAGCTTCTTACCTCACCACACCAATGTCTATTTCATTTTCTGACAACTCCATCCTTCCAGTTACTTACACCAGAAACCTTGGGTCATCCTTAATTCCTGTCTTTCATTCCACACACCTACTGCACTAGTAAACCTTTTATAGTTTTTCCTTCAAAATACATTTGAGTCTGATAATTTCTCAATCTCCTTTTCCCACAGTGACCAAAGCCACCATCATGTCTATCTGGAGTATTGCATCATCTGCTTTAATCTTTTCTGAGCACTATAACCACAGCCATCTTGTTAGAAGGGCAAGTCACGCCATTTTATTGCTCTGCTAAGATCATCCAATGGTTCCATCTCACACTAAGCAAAAGCCAAAAGAACTGCTGTGGCCTAAAAGGCCCTACGTGATCTCCCTGGTCTTTCAATACCCTAGGCACACTTCCCTCCAAACCCTACTCTGGTCCTACCTTCATGACCTCTTTCCTATTGCTTGGATTCCCCCAGACCTAGCCTTCCAAAGATCTTCACACAGACTCCTTCCTTGACCCCAATACCATATCTTAATTGAACTAACATCTCTAGTTACATGTCCAAATACTCTGAATTCCATTTACCATCCTCCCCTGCTTAAATTCTCCTTAGCATTTGTCTCTATTGAACATACCATATGTTTTTAAAACTTCTTCACTTTGTTTACTGTCTAGTTTCCCTGGGGCCCCTACCTGAATAATGTTAACTTGATTAAGACAGGGATTTTTTGTTTTGGCTTGTTTTATGTTTTCATTGTTATATGCCCAAACCTGTGTGATGGAACATGACAGACAGTCAATAAATACATGTATAACTGATAAAACCATCAATACAAAGTCTGGATTATAAGAGGACAATAAGGGTTGAAAATAAGATTTGGAAGCACATTCTGAACCAGTGCTGTGCGCTAGAGCTGATCTTTTGCAGTTTACTTAACTTTTGCTTACTCAATTAAGCCTTCCTTTGGAATGCTCCATAAAAATCTGTTAATTTGATCCCTCCTCTACTTCCGTGCCCCTAGGATTAAAATCACTTAAAGTTTTTCTCAGGCTAAGGGGATAAAATCAAAGTTTAGTATCTCACTGGACCTACTAGACCCACTAAGATCTCATCTCCAGGCATGGTCTGCATTCCGGCCACCATACCTGATTGCGTTTATTCATCCACTTGGTTCCTTCTGTTAGTTCATAGCAATCCTCCTACCTGCTTTGCAAAGGCAGGCTTATAGTATTCCCTCACAGTCTTTCAATGGGACTCCAGACTGTTCATTTCCCTGTTCCTTGTCTTGGCAGTTCATACTTTACTTGCTGGCTTGTATTATAATTCCAAATAATACATTTTTATGCAACTAGTTGATTAATATGAATCTCCCCTCTACATACATAAACTCCGGTAGGGAAGGACTGTGCCCATTTTATTTGCTGTTTTATCACAAGCCCTGGTTAGAAAGACTACTCATTGAACATTTATTGAATAAATGAAGAAACAAACAATAAAGAATACACCTGACATATGATGTTTCCTTTGCCTGAATTATCTCTTTCTCATGATTTTGCCTGTGCTGCTGAGGACAGAAGTCTCACTAGTCTGACCACCTTTTCTTATTTTCCAAAATCCTTTCTGGAGGGCCTGGAGGGAGTCATGCTCAGAATCATTAACAGACATTTTGACCCATTGATAAGAGGATTCTTCCTACATCTTGTCCCTGGCATGCGATCTTTGTGATGTACTTAAAAGCCTCCTTACCTCTGTTGAAGTACACTTTTAGTACATTCTTTTCTGATCTCAGCAACCTTCCTTTTCTAACCACCAATGTAAAAACTGTAAAACTCACCTATAACCTATAAGCCCCACCCATCCACCTCCCACTTTTTTGGGCCAAACCGATGGAAAAAAAACTCTTCGCTAAATTCCGAACTTTGTCTTGTGCTCTCAAAGTCAAATAAAAGGAAACTTTGTACCTGATTACCCCAAGAAAGGCATATTTTGCCTCTTCTTAGGGCCTAGGTCACTCATATTCTGCTTAGAAATAAACTCCATTTATTATTATTTTTACAGAGATGGTTGTTTCCGTCGACATAACTAACTTCTAAATTCTTGACTTATTTTTTGTTTGCTGAGCCTAATTTACACTAACTCTGTCCGTGTTTCCCATTCAGTAAGGGCACCCTGTTCCAGGCTGCAGGTTGGCTTTGCCTTCACAGATTCTGTTCTTAGACTCCCATCTATGTTTCCTCAGCAAAAAGGAACAGAAAACTTTTGATCTATTCAACCTACAGGAAAACTCATATGACCAATATCCTTAGGAGAACAAATTTAGACATGAGGATTTATATGCTTTAAATTTGGTCTGGAGTTCAACAATTAAGAGTAGGAGAACATCATTTTGCCATTACTTAGTAATAAATCTTAATATGGAAGTCAACAAATGAATAGCATAAGGGCATGGCTCCTCTTCATCAGAACTATGAAGTCATGTGTACAGAGAAGAACCATTAATGGTGGCATTCCACAGTCAGGCATAAAATACTGTGTGTAAAATATACTCACAGCCTATGACACATGCTCACAACTGCCAATTGCTTTTGTAAATTTACTAACCTGAAGCTTTAGGTTAAAAAAAAAAATTACTGCTCTACACTAATTGAAATGAAAAAGAAATATGCCATGAAGGTAACATATTTACCACAAAGAAAAGTTTCTCTCCATCTCTGGTTGTTGATCTGCACATTTCTAACTGTGTATAAATGTTGGATGTTCTAAGTTGCTTTTTTAAAATTTGAAGTCAAATATATCACTCATCCCAAAGCTTAAAAAACCTTTGCAAGTTTTCTCTGTGGTTTGTGACTTTTCCTCACACAGCTGTGAACAAAACCCACTGGGTGGGACTGGGCCTCATGTCAGTCAAAAAGTTCAAAGACTAAAAACAAGTACCTCTTCAAGGACATCAGCAAGCTTACTGAGGATCTCTTCAGGAAGGGTCTGGAATGTTGGAACACTGCAAAACAAAACAGAGTGATGCTGAACCCATGAACAGAACCTTAATTTCATAAATAAAATGACAATATTTCAGAATGACAGTGTAAAAAAATTCATAAAAGAATCTGCAGATGAAGATCAAAGCAATTGTTTAAGCACTTTTTGAGGTCATCTAGAGAAAAAGCATGTTATACAAAAAAGAGATTAGATGTTGGATGGATATTTATTCACCTGCACTTGGGAGCCTTAGCTAGTGGGTTGTTGGAAAAAATCCTGATGTTATTTTTCTATTTCTATGCAAAAATGAGTCATGACTTTTCCAACAACTCAATATAATGAGGAGAACTGCTCTCTCTCCCTCTCTCATCTGTCTCCTGCCTGGTTCCTTCCAATTCCTCCTCCTCTTCCAAGTTTTCCTTCACACGCACCCTTCTCCAGGCCAATCCTACCCATTCTTTAGGATACAGGTTGATTGATGATACATTCAGACCTGTAAACATTCATTCAACAACTACATAAAGCTCTTCACTCTTCCCAATGGCTCCCTAACTGGGCCAATTTCTTCTATTATGAGCTCCTTTATCTCTTGCTGCAATTTTAATTAGATAATTAATCAGATAGTTATTATGTGTCTTCCCTGCTAGAGTGAAAACTTCACAAAGATAAGAACTATATTTGTCTTGCTCAGCTCCTTGTATTTTCAGTTACAAATAACAAACTTGACAGCATGTGTTGAATACAGGTATGAAAATATGGATATATGAATGTGTCACAGAACAGTTGTTAGGATTGGGCCAGACTGGATAGAGAAAAGAAGTGGAAAATGCTGGAAATACTGAATGATGCTGAATATACAAAACAATACAACTTTCACATGTGAAATGATAACGACAAAAAAAAAAATAACTCTTCAACATGTAATCCGTGAAATTCCTCTAGAAAATCTGTAAGACATAAAATTTAAATTCTCATTTAATCGTGCTTCAGTGCTTGAACAGAGAAAAGAATATAAACGATTGCATATACATTTGCATGTCTGATATTTAACTTGCGGCATAATTCTGGCTTGATTGGAACGATACAATGAAAGAAACTGTAACATACTATTTTGATATAAGCAAGAAGTTTTTCTGTTAATTTGCCACTGTGAGTCCCATTATGTTGGGTAAAGCTTATTGGTGAAATCCCAAGGTTTTATGCAGAGGTGTGACAATTCACCCAGGACCATCTGTTCCACCAGATTTACTGCTGTGGTCTGAGCCATGTGGGTTTTAGTTTCCAGAAGGCAGTCTATTTCAGCAGCTGGATGAAGCATATCACAGAAAGAGACAGAAGAAGATAGAGGAAGCTGTTTCCATGAGTCTTGCAGGTTGAAAAAACTAGCCCTTCCTTGTTTATAATGAGCTGTATTTCAGTTTCGTCTGAGATACTAGAACATGTAGAGTGCTTCTATCTTGTTGGGTATTTGCAGAAAAAGTTAACTACAGCAGAGTTTTTCTCGTTTATTCATAATTGGCTCTCTTTAGACAGGCCTATTATTTTTATACTACACCTTTTATATATCATTCTGAGAACATTTTTGTAATCATTTAAAAAAAAATCCTGATAGAGACCATGTGTAGGTACATAAGAGACACAGAGAAAGAAAGATAGAGGAAGCCCCCTCATCTCACCTCTCGCCATGCCACATCCCTTCCTCCAGTCCTCAACTGATCAGGGTCTTGGGCTTGCACCCATGTACACAGTGTATTCCAGGCTGACCATGCTGGAGATTTGAACTGGCGGACATGTGTTTCTAAAACTGCAGTTTGTTCAACTACCAACGATGTCATCAGACTGGGCCATTTTAGAGATCACTAAGATCTCTATTCTCCAAACACTAAATAAGTTCTGTCATGTAATTAATCTGTTTTCTAAGCATTGCCAGTCTACAACAGCTTGAACACCAAGAAGAAAACAACTTAAATTCTCCCTATGAAATAAATCACTTGAATTTTCCAAATCATATAGAAAGATACCAGATTTCTACTATTTTGAGCATATAATCATTCAAGGTAAAGTTGCCTGTGATTTAGAAAACATAAGGCAAAATAATTTCCAGGACAAACTTTCAGAGAAAATGCTTAAACCCAAGAGAAGAATATTTTCATTCATGTAAAAAGAGATTATAATAATTTACATGCTAATTACAAGTAATTTTTACAGATGTATTAAAACATTTCAGTTCCCTAAGCACTTGCAAAAGACCCAAAGTTACAAATGCACTTGAATATCATATAATAGAGATGATTTAATGTGTGATGCCTTTCTATTGGTTTTTCTAATTAAATGAAGCAAGAACTTGGAATTTATAATGACAATAGTGTTTCTATTTGCTAGACACTGGACTAAAGGTTTTATAGGTAATACAAATTTTGCTTTTCCACCATCTTATCAAATTGTTATTGTCACCTACTTTATAGATAAGGCTACTGGAACCTTGAGAGTTTACCTAAGGTCATTCAAGAAAGGATGACAATTTTCGGGGGACCAGCAGTTAGCGTAATGGCTATGTCACTGGACTCCCATGTAGTCAACCGTGGTTCAAATCCCAGACCCGGTGGCTTAAACTCACGCTGGGAACGTGTGCGTGTGTGCCCAAGATCCCGAGAGGAGAATGGAGGAGAAGGGATTATGGCGTGGCCATCCCCCCTGGGAGGTGATTTCTCGCTTTCTGTCTCTCTGTCTCTCTCTGTCTTTCCGGCGAGCGCATGCGCCCTATAGCAAAAAGCTATAAAAAAAAAAGAAAGGATGACAATTTTCATCTCCATGGCTATGGAGCTGCTGCCTTGCTCACTAAGCTCCCTACTTCTCAGTGAAGGTACTAAAAGCAAGTTTTTCAAACTAGTGCTTGTTCTTTTATGTAATTATTAAAAATAAGTAAGTAATAATATTTGATTTTGTACTTTCATTTATTTCCTCCTTTTTTTTTTCAAGATATTTTTGCCTTAGGGTGCATGTACTTGCTGGAGAGACAGAGATAGGGGAAAGGGAGAGTGAGAAATCATCCCCTAGGAGTGATGGTCATGTCATAATCCCTTCTTCTTCATTCTCCTCTCAGGATCTTGGACATGTATGCACACACATCCAATGTGAGGTTAAGTCACCGAGCCCAGGATTCAAATTGCAGTTGACTATGTGGAAGTCCAGCAATGTAATCATTATGCCATCTGCTAGTCCCAACTGATGCACTATTTATTTATTTATTTATTTATTTATTTATTTATTTATTGGAGAGGGTTTTGGTATAGGGCACGTGTGCTCACCAGAAAGACAGAGAGAGAGAGAGAGAGACAGAGAGACAGAAAGCGAGAAATCATCCCCCCCCACCCCCCAAGGAGGATGGGGATGGCTATGCTGCAATCCCTTCTCCTCCATTCTCCTCTCGGGATCTTGGGCACACACACAAGTACATGTGCCCAGTGTGAGTTTAAGCCACCCAGTCTGGGACTCGAACTGCCGTCGACTTCATGGGAGTCCAGCAACACGGCCATTACACCAACTGCTGGTTCCAGATGCACTTTTTAAATCCCAAAAATTGTTTGGCACAACTTTTCAATTTACAAATGAAAAACACAGTGAAGCATCTTACAGACCAGTTACATTATATTGATTGAAGAAACTCACACCAGAGATAATGACTAGTGAAACCTGGGGAGTTGAATTTGCTAAATGTCTACTGGATACAAAGCCAGTCAAAGAAATTGCACTGCCTCTTTCCAATGATATAGCACTTACCTGAATTACAGATGTAACTGTCAAGCCAGAATGAGTTAAGATGTTGTCTACAGAACTGTATTTTTTGGGACCAGCAGTTAGCATAATGGCTATGTTGCTGGACTCCCATGTAGTCAACGATAACGGTTCAAGTCCTGGACCTGGTGGCTTAAAACTCACACCGGGTGCGTGTGCGTGCATGCGCATGCCCAAGAACCCAAGAGGAGAATGGAGAAGGGATTGCGGTGTGGCCATCCCCCCTGGGGGGTGATTTCTCGCTTTCTGTCTCTCTGTCTCTCTCTGTCTGTATGGTGAGCACAAGTGCCCTATAGCAAATACCTCTCCAAAAAACAAAACAAAACAAACAAACAAAAACTAAGTAAGTAGGAACCAGGAGCTGGCATAATGGTTACATTGCTGGACTCCCACATAGTTGACCAGGGTTTGAGTCCCGGACCCCTGGAGGCTTAAAACTCACACTGTGCACGTGTGTGTGTGTGTGTGTGTGTGTGTATGGGTGTGTGTCCAAAATCCCAAGAGGAGAATGGAGAAGGGATTGAGACAAGTCCATCCCCCCAAGGGGAGTGATTTCTCACTTTCTGTCTGTCTCTTCCGCAAACACACACACACCCTATAGCAAAATTTGTCTTAAAAAAAAACAAAAAACTAAGTAAGTAAATCAATAAATAAAACACCTTGCCAGATTTACTTTAAAATGTTTCTATTGAAATAGTAAAATTTGGGACCAACAGATGGCATAATGGCTATGTCACCGGACTCCCATATAGTCACTGTGGTTCAAGTCTCAGACCCAGTGGCTTAAACTCACACCAGGCACATGTGCGTGTGTGCCCAAGATCCTGAAAGAAGAGTGGAATGAAAAGGATTGTGGTGTGGCTACCCTCAACCCTTGTGTGTGTGTGTGTGTGGGGGGGGGTGAATTCTTACTTTCTGTCTCTCTGTCTCACTCTGTCTTTCTGGCAAGTATATGCACCCTACAGCAAAAAGCTCTCCATAAATAAATAAATTAATTAAATAATAAAAAAAAATAAGTAAATGGTAAGGATATACAAAGCACTTTTGCTTATGGAGGTAAAATAGTCGATTCAAGGAAAATCCCTCGAATGGCTTGCAAATGACTTCCAAGCTGAATTAACTGCTTTTGTTCATGGAACATCATTTTTACCAGGGAATGGCTGACAAAGATGTGGCTATTTATACATGGATATTTTGTAGATGCATTTTTTAAATGAACACAGTAAG